AGGGGGAAGGGGAGGGGCGGGTGCTGATCGAGGAGGGTTGGAGAAGGAGAAGAAGGGGTCGCCCGAGGTCGAGTAGTGCGGCGGCGGGGATGCCGGGGTCGGTTCCGCTTTGAAGGGGCTTTGAAGGGGGGTTGGGGATGCGGAGAGAAGGAGTGGGAGGGAGCAGGCGCCGGAGCAGAGGAAGAAGAAGAAGAAGGTGGTGGGTTCAGAGGGCTGTCCTCGTCGACGAGGTCGATGTAGTCAGAGATGGTGAAGCGGTTCGTTGGCGCATGCTGGAGCTCAATCTTCTCGATCTGGATCGGGTGGGACGGCATCGTGCCCGTGGGCCCGTGGGCTTGGGCCTGCAGGCGCTGCAGGCGGGAGAGGCGTGTGCTCAGACCAGACTCTTGAGGTGCAGTCGCCGCTGGATCCTGGATCTTCCTCGAGGTGGACTCGACGCTAGCAGGCTGCCGAACGTGGACGCTCGGACCTCGAGCCTTGTATTCAGCGCCGAGGTGTAACGCTGCAGAGGAGAGGAGTGGGCTTGTTCCAGGCCCGGACGGCGAGATCGATGATCTGTGCGCAATGTTCAGCCTGCTCGGAGGTTAAAGGAGTGCTTCGCGAGAGAGGGTGGAGTCGGGGTACGTCGGACGAGCAGCTTGGGCTCAATTCGAGAATGTTGGGACAAGGTACACAGAGTCGAGCGGAGATGTGTACACGGACGGTTTGGTTGCACGGGCTCTCAAGTGGAAGCGCACATGTTGAGAGAGAGAGTGTGTGTATGTGTATGAGTACAAGATGGGAGAAGCGAGATGGATGGAGATGTTGAGATGAGGTGCTATGAGAGTGCAAGCAAGTGTGCATGACTTGCGGCAAGGTGTCGTGCCCAGCGTGCCCAGTGGCCAGGCCAAGTAGTCTCCAGGGATGCCGAGCAGTTTAGACTCTGTGGGATGCAGCCCAATTCCCTGTCTGCCTTCAACTCGACCATGCTTTCATCCTTGAAGCACATCCTGAGGGCTGGGTTCCGGCGTACAGCACCTGTTAGCACCAACAGCACTAGCACACGCTTGTGGGCACTCGACGCGTCCAACCGCTGCCTTTTCGCTCAGGTCCCAGGGTATTGTTGTACGAAACCCAGGGTCCTCTATTCCGGAGGGTCCGGAGCGTCCGGAAGCCTGGAGCGGGGCATGTCGTAAACTTGTATCCTGAATTCCGCCAGAGTGCACCTGAAGAGACGCCCATGGGCACCGCGTGAATGGAACTTGTTGCACCCAAAGTGTTGTCTAATCGTGCACTCTCTCATCTCACTGGGACATTCCTTGCGTCTCTAGTCGCAGCTCTTACTAGAGGGAAGGACAGCTGCTCGGGATGGCACATATCACCTTGATCATGTCCAGCTGACAGCTTGATGAGGTTTTAGGGGTACTAGTCACCCTTCAGTGATTCCATCTCGCAGTCTGCACTTTCTCACTTGAAGTCACCCAGTCACTTCTGGTCCCTCTGCTTGGGTAGTCAGTCGAGACAGCCAATTCGTCCATGTGTTGCAGATGAAGCACAGCAGATTCACAGCCAGCCCAGCTTCGGTGACCTCAATGCGATGTCAACTTGGCAGCGCGGGATGACAGGAGGTGGCGGCACAGCCAGCGATTTGGCCGTCCTCCCACAGCACCGCAATCATCGCCACCTCCCGGTACCTCCCCTTACACAAACGGTATCCTTGGCCCGCTCACTTCCCCAGAAGACAATGACTCACTCAACCTGGTTTATGCATGTGTTGGTTCTGACTATCCCACCTGCTCGGCAAGTTCGGCACGGCGAAGCACGTCGACTTTCTCGTGCGTGAAACAAACTGCAGACTGTGCCTCCCCCTTCCGTCTCGTGCTCCAGTGCAGCTAGTGCAGAGCACACATGTTGACTGTTGTTTCAAACGGATATGATATCCCATGGGCGGTTCTATTTGTTGTTTGCATACTGTGCTACTGCTATACACCTACGCCATCGCGCTCGGTCGCACTCGGGGTAAGAAAGTGCACCAGCGGCATCGACCAGCGGCATCATCGACCAGCGGCATCATCGACCAGCGGCATCGACCAGCGGCCTCGCTTTGGTGGCTTACTTGTCGCCAGGCCCGCCGTTCTTGAATCCCGCCTCGACGCCCTGCTCGCGCTTCTGGTTGAGCCACTCGTAAACGACGCTGGAAGTTAGCCCAGTGCTTACGTCTTCTCTCCCCGACAAATGCCGGGAATGCAATAGATGCACAGAAATGAAGAGGGATCGTCCAAAGACTTGGGTCTCGGTCGGCCTTGGTCGGCCCTCCGGCGCCGAAGCCGAATCGCCTTCGGCTTCGGCGCCTTCAGCTGCAGACTCACGAGAAATCCTTCGACGCCATGCTACCGTCGCCCTCCTCGCACGTCGCCTCGTACACACTCTTCGAGGCCCAGGTCAGCGGCGTGGGCTGCGCCTTGGCCGCGGCGGCCGCGAGGGCGAGGCCGACGTCCTGTGTGTCAGCGGTGTTTGTTGGTTGTGTTTCCTCTCAATGTTGCAGCACGCAGCTCCAACTCTCAATAGCACGACACTCGCTTCGCCCCTCATAGCACGCAGCTCCGCTCTCAGTAACGCAATGCACGCTTCGCTCGTGATAGCACGTAGCTCACTCCGTTCGCAGGAGCTCACTGCTCGCTCCGTGCCCGGCGCGCGGCTCGCCGCTCGCTGCGCTCGCTGGCTCGCACTCACCTTGAGCATCAGCTTGGTCTGGAAGCCGCCCGTGTACCCCCTCGCCCCGGGGCCACCCTCGACCTCGGGCAGGGGCGAGTTGACCTTTGAGCTCCAGCTCTGGCCGGAGGACGTGTTGATGATGTTGTGCATGAGCACGGGGTCGATGCCGAGCGCCTTGGCGAGCGCGAGACCCTCGCCGAGGGCGATCTGGTTGATGGCGAGAATCAGGCTGGGGCTGTCAGCTTGTGGTCGCTGTAACAGAAGGCTCGGTGGAGGTCGGGCTCACTTGTTCACGACCTTGACGCCCACGCCGTCACCCGAGTTGCCACACGGCACGACGCCGCCCTCGCGCGCCATGTGCTGCATCAGCGGGGTCGCCAGCTCGGACGCAACCGGGTCGCCGGAACCAAACATGATCGTGAGCGTGCCGGCCTTGGCGCCGGTGATGCCTGGGGTCAGTCTCTACTACATCCCGGGGTCTGTCTGTCGCTCGCTTCGCTCGCTTTGCTCGCGCTCACCTCCCGAAACAGGCCCGTCAATCATGAGCGCCTTGCGGCCCGTCTTGTCGTGCACCGTGTCGGCGACGCGCTTCGCGCCCGTCGGGTCGAGCGTCGTCTGGTCCACGAACAAAGTCGACGCGTCCGTGACGCCGCTCATGATCTTGCCGTCCACGAGCCAGGGGAGCTCGGTCGCCGCCTTTGACAGCGAGGTCTGGTCCGCGCCCTGCAGACCGGCCAGGAGACCGTTCTCGCCAAGGTACACCGCCTCGACCTGGGGCGTGGACGGGAGCATCGTGAAGACACGAGCGGCCTCGGCAGAGACACTGGTCGTCAGCTGTGCTCATTGGAAAGGATCGCGGCCAACTGTCGTGCCAAGAGAGATCGGCAAAGTTCCCCCCGGTCCCTCGCCACCACTCACTCCCTCGGGTTGTCGACACGCTTGATGCGGTCGGCGGCGGCGTCGCCCGAGACCTTGCGGACGTTCTCGACGAACTGGGCGACGCTCGCCTCGCTCGGATCGCACACGACGATGGACGGCATCTCGGAGCTGCCCTTGGCGGCGGCGGTGGCTTTGGTGAAGAGGTTGGTCGCCATGGGGTTGCCCATGGCGCCGAGGCCGATCCAGCCTAGTGTGCCGGAACGCGAGAGCACGATGCGGGTGGGGAGCATGATGTGGGGTTAGATTGTGAGGGTATTGAGAGAGAGGTAAGAGGTGTGATTAAAGTACAAGGAGACGCGGGCGACGCGGCTGGGTTGTTCGCATGAGACTTGACCCTCTCTTTGCCCAGAAACGTCGTCAGCTGGTGCCGATGGCTAAGTCTCGGCAAGTTGTAGGCGAGTGTGGGCAAGTTCCGACCCCGGACCTGGACGCCGTCTTTGAACCGATATCCGAGATTACTCGGTCAGCTGGTGTCGCGTGGATTCCACGCTACGTCCTGCACGTGATCACTCAAGCTGACATGAGGCAAGAGACATCCGCCGCGTCAAAAGTCACTTCCGCATCACTCATCCAACCTACTGTAAGAGCCCAATGCGCTCGCCATCACCGCCATACAGGCGGTCACGCTTCCGCTCCCCGAGTCCCCGGAGCCCAATCCGCTTCGGCCCGTCAAGAGGAGGAGACCGATACCGCGGCGGCAACGACGAGTACGACGACCGTCCCGACCGCAGCGAGCGTGAGCGAGACCGTGACCGCGATCGCGAGCGGGACAGGGACCGTGATCGTGACCGGGACCGTGACCGTGATCGCGATCGCGACAGAGACCGAGACAGGAGCTTCCGGAACGAGCGCTGGGGTCGGCGCGGCGACCGAGACCGCGACGCCGGCCGCGACTGGGACACGTACTACTCTCGCCGGCGCGAGTCGCGCGAGACGCGCGAGGCGTCTCCGAAATCTGCCGCTTCTGTATCTCGCGCAGGCTCGCCAGAGGAGGGGCAGATCACCTCCCCCGATGCCAGCCACGGACGGCGCAGCCCCCGCCGCCGCTCCCGCTCGCCGGGGAGGTACGACCGTTTCGACCGATACAGGGAGTTTGACCGGGAGAGGCGCTGGGATGAGCGCGAGGACCGGAGTCGCGAGCGCGAGCGCGATCGCGGATGGAGGCGGAGTCGCAGCCGGAGCAGGAGTAGGAGCCGCTCGAGGAGTCGGAGCCGCGATCGGGAATGGGAGAGGGAGCGCGATCGCG